CGGCGGCAGCCAGCAGAACCAGCACACAAGCAGCATGTCGTCGCTGTCCACCGGAAGCGGAATGGGCCCTATGGGCATGACCGTGGGCATGACGGTGGGCCCAAGTCCCGGCGCCTGCCTGCAGCAGCGGGACAACGGCTACTCGTGCGGCGTGGCGCGGCCCGCCAGCTACGAGCCCCTACATCTTGGGTACGGCGCGAGGCCCACCTGCAGTCCCACGCAGCCCTACCACACGGCGGGCCTGAACCAGTACAATCAGAACACCAGCTCGACCGGTGAGTGTCTACCGCACTCACTGCACTCGCTGCTTGCACTTTAGCGGACGGACTACCACGGATAACACGCTATCGAGCCTGCTGGTAATGGATTATACTCGCTTCTGTGTTACGACGGTCTTTCTGCTAGTAGAGTCCCCTCCCCCTTTTCGTTGCGGCGAGATCTCCTGGCACTTTTACGGGGCCTTTCGCTTTGTCAGTTGAAATTCAGATTTCTGAAATTAAGATTTTTGAAATTAAGGTTTTTGAAATTAAGATTTCATTTTTTTCAAACCTTTAATCATTTTTCAAAATCTTTGTAATCATTGTAATGGATGAAATCAGGAATGGGTCAATTTTGACCCGCCCGATAATTCTAGTGTTAAGATTTCAGTATCGATTTCTAAATCGAATTCTTTAATCATTTTTTAAAGAAGTGTCCGTGCCTTTGTAATTATTGTAACAGAAGAAATCTGGAATGGGTCAATTTTGACCCACCTAGTGATTTCAATTGGTTCATATTTCAGTTTAGGTATTACTAATTCAACTTCTTTAACGATTCTTCAAAGAAGTATCTGTGCTTTTTCAGTAATTGTAGCAAAAGAAATCAGGAATGGGTCAATTTTGACCCGCCTGATAATTCTAGTGTTAAGATTTCAATATCGATTTCTACATCGAATTCTTTAATCATATTTTAAAGAAGTGTCCGTGCCTTTGTAATTATTGTAATGGAAGAAATCGTGAATGGGTCAATTTTGACCCATCTAGTGATTTCAATTGGTTCATATTTCGGTTTGGTTATTACTAAATCAACTTCTTTAACGATTTCTCACAGAAGATATTGAAGAATAATTCCCATAATAATAATGAATAATAATTTTTCTCAGTTAACTCTAATATGAATTATTAAGTTAGACCTAACCCAGAGCTTATGAAACGCAATAAGAAGCAAGTAATTGATTATATGTAAGGTGGAGGTGTAGCTTCCGAACGTTCCAGATCTTCTTTAACTTTTCTTAACAATAAAAGCTTCAAGGACTTTTTGTTGTTCTGACGTAAAAAGGCCATATTGCACGAGAGGATCCTACAACAAAATCAACGTCTATTTTTTACATATTCTTTAGAAATAAACAATTAAGAATGTTCAGCAATACAAAGTTAACCAGTCTAGTGTGGAATTTAGTTTGAAAAATCTCTCTGGCTCGCAATAGAATGATAAAATCAAGTGTGTACCGTCGTTGCTGGGAAGTTGGCACTCGTGACGTCACAGGCACGAATACAGTCGCTGTACGATCTCCAATTTCTAGTTGGAAATGGCTCCTCGCGCTCTCTGTCGCTGGATCCAAGTGTGTACTAACGTCTCGACCAATCACGTACCAACGAAACGTCGTATAGAGGCGTGCGCTGTGGAATCCAACCAATCAGATGAAAGTGCCAGGTTCCCTGCAACGAACGGTGGTCGTCAAACACAGAACGAGTACACGCATATTTTAATGAAATGCACTCTTAGAGTTTTTATAGAGGAATTTAAAATGGTTAAGATCTGAAATTATTAAAACAACATGTTCACTCCTCAAACGCAGCTAACTGGTTAACACTAGAACTACCTACAAAAATTGCAACAAATTATTGTTTCTCCATTCATTGACACTAACCAAGTGAAATTATTTATCATCAATACCATTTTATTCATCAACTTAAAAATTAATTTTCTTGGTGACGTGACATAATGATCATGGATTATTATGAAACTTACAAAATGATAATTGTAGGGGGGGGGGTTTGATGACTGTCTACTTGTCAGTCAACATTTCCCCTACCAACCTCCACAAAACAACAAAACCAAAGCCATGTTGACTAAAATAATTCCAGTCATAAACAAATAAAAACCCTGAACCTCTACTAACCGAACCAGTCGTTCAACAAGCTTTCCATGCTTTTAACGTTGAAAACTCGATTCCCACTTCACCAACCACCACAAAACCAAAGTCATGTTGACTACAATAATTCTAATTTTAAACAAATAGAAAACCTCGAACCTCTACTAACCGAACCAGTCGTTTAACAAGCTTCCCCTACTTTTAACGTTGGAAACTCAATTCTCAGTCCAGTAACCACCACAAAACCAAAGTCATGTTGACTACAATAATTCGAATTTTAAACAAATAAACCCCGAACCTCTACTAACCGAACCAGTCATTCAACAAACCTCCCCTACTTTTAATATTAAAAACTCGATTCCCAGTCCAGCAACTAACCTAAAACCATCTGACGAACGACCTCTGGTGTTGCAGGTCTCATATCGCCCGGCGTGAGCGTGCCGATCGCGGTGCCAGGACAGCCGGCACCAGACATGGCGGCGCAGTACTGGTCGCCGCGGCTACAGTGACCGTGGTGGTCATCGGTGTCGACATCCTCTCCGTAGACCTCGAGCTTCTTTGACTTACGTTAGCTTCCAAAGCGTTGAACACAAGAGAACACTAGGAGAAGATCCTCGAAATCGATGAAAGGCAGTCCCCGCGGACATTCAGGACAGTCCGTGCCACCGATGCTCGCCGATTGCCTTCGAGCCGAACGGTGACACCGCGCGACCACAGGAGACCCAAGCGAAGACGACGCCGGCGAGGTTAGGGCGCCCAGGACAGCTAAATCGTTTCTTTCATCAGCGAAACGGCGTGTACGAGTGATACAGAGCGTTTAGAAATTACCTTCCTAGTTTTCCTTGTTTTCCTCGATCCCCGAGCCACTCAGCTTCAACGACGGAGACCGTAGAGGTTAGGTGACCACTAGACTCGTGCACGCTGGGAACGAAGAGTAGACTTCGTAGGCTGGTGTCATGACGGGAGGACCCGCGGCTACCTTAGTAGTGTAATGATCAGTACTTACCGCTTGATGACCTCCATTGCGTTTCTAGTTGCGATTGTAATTTACCCGGGCGTAGCTGTCCGGGACGGAGATAGTTCTCAGGATTCGATTCGGGACGCTAAGATGGCCGCGCGGTGGTCCATGACGACGCCGCGCGGACCGGGTGAGGTTATGTTGTGTTCTTAGCGGAATTTCTTTGATTCGGTGATAAGTAAGTAAACAGTATCGGCGCGTTTCTAATTTCGAGGTTAGGGAGGCTACCGACGCGGACGTCTAGTGATAAGACAGTTCTGTTGACGCGAAGTGGGAAGATTGTAGATTGGACGTATAGTGCTCGCTTAAATTTTACTGGTAAGGGTCGTTGGAGTAAAATTTACGCGAGCGGTACAAATATGGGAAGATGTTCAATTGATTTGAGCAGAATGTGAGGAAGGGAATCGATAGTGCGTGCGAAGGCAATTTCGAATGAAGTCATTTTGAGGTTATGTTCTTGAATGTGGTGCAGGTGAATTACTGAGATTGCGCTGGTTAAAACGAGTCCAAACACGATGGGAATTGCACTAGTTTCGCTGACTTAGTGTAATTAACGAAATTAAGGTTAGTTTTCATGAAATGGATGAAACTTGACCGATTTACGTCGTGTTTGGACTCATTTTAATCAGGAAAATGTCAGGAATCCATCGGTATTACATTTGAGAAGGTAAGATTAATCACGTAGTGAAGAAAATTTCAATCGCAAGGTTTTAACCTCATCTTATCAAATATAGTACCAATGAATTACTGAGATTGCGCTGATTAAAAAGAATCCAAACACGACAGGAATCGGACTACGTTTATTAAGTTAATTTAATTAACGAAATTAAAGGCTCGTTTCCATGAAATCGAAAAACTAATCCGATTCCTATCGTGTTTGGACTCATTTTAATCAGCACAATCTCAGCGATCCATTGGCACCACAATTGAGAAAGTACGGCTAAAATTACTGCAATTGAAATTTTCTTCGTTTGTTCATTATACTCATTTTCTCCTACTGAGATCACGTTACACCGAGCTCGAGTGAGTAGTGGGATGAAAGTCCGTTGTAAAATTTATCCGAGCAGGTTTCCGTAAAATTTAAGCGAGCGTGTTGTTTTCAACCAATCCGTTAAACGTAATTCCACGCATCGGAGTGTTCTCGTGGTAAAATAAGGGACAGCCGTACGAACACGATCGAAATGTTTATTTCGAATGTGCCCATTCTCTTCTGAACGTTACTGCGAGCTGTTGCTTTCATCCGTCGCCTTTCCTTTCGCGATCCTCGCTTATTGTGCTCCGTAACGCCAAGGAAAAAGCGACCCTCTCGTTTCACTTGTTTCAGCTAACGATATAAGGTTAAACGAAAATTCATATCCCGGATGGAAATCGGACGACAGCGGTCGACAGGCGTGAACGTCGATGGGATTCGTCGAAGGGAACGACACAGGAATTGTACAACTCTCGATTAGCGGAATAATTTGAGCGTGCGCGGCGAAAGCGATGGAACGGTACCAACGGGAACCGATTAGCAATGGCGTGCGTGCGTGCGTGCGTGGCAGAGTTTTTAACGGCAGTTCGTAGATGTAACCTCTAGGCCAATAAAAAGAACGTAAAATAGGTTTTAAGTCGGTATTATTTATATTCGTGTAAGGGGCGCAAGCGAGACAAGAGTAATTGAACGTTTATTGTGTGTACATCGTAATGATATCGACATTTATATATAGTTGATTCTAATCCCAAGTATCCGATAAAGCAAACTCGATTTCATCATTTATATCCGGTGCAAAACGATCGATCAGCAGAAAAACGCGACACCAGGTATGTTAACCGTACGATTATGCATTCGAAATAAATAGTGTGTGCATTTAAGTAAAATCTTGTTCCGTCACTTACCTCCGAATCGACCCCCGTCCTCTCCCAGGCGAGAAAGAAAATTATAAATGGAGAAATTAGTTGTAATTGTGTAAATGAAGAAAATTTCAATTGCAATCATTGTAATTGTAGCTTCTCAAATGTGGGACCAACGGATTGCTGAGATTCTGCAGATTAAAATGAGTCCAAACACGGCGGCAATCGGACTAGTTTTTCGATTTCATGGAAACGAGCCTTTAATTTCGAAAATTACATGCAATTCCTAAAACTAGTCCGATTTATATCGTGTTTGGGCTCGTTTTAATCAGCTCGATCTCAACAATCCATTAACACTGCATTTAAGAAGGTAAGGTTAAAATGACTGCAACTGAAATTTTCTTCACGACATGTTTAACTTGATCTTCTAAATTATAGTACCGATGGAATGTTGAGATTCTTCTAATTGAAATGAGTCCAAACACGACCTAAATCGAACTAGTTTTTTCGATTTCAGGCTGTACTTGAGTCAACGGAAGCAAATAGCTCCCTCCTGTTTTTTCTGCTCGATTAAATTTCACTGCTGGGACCTCAAGTTGTTAAATTTAAACGAGCATTACTGTATTACTACCTAGGTAACACTATAAAAATTTTCTTTCGAGCGAAAATTATAAATGGAGCAAATAGTTGTAATTGTGTCAATTGTTTATGCAAAATAGGTATAAAAAATCGCATTAGCTTCTGCGACTCGATTAGTGATATGTTGAAAATATAATATAATTTGGTAAATAACGCCCGTTGCATGGAACTTGTCACTTGTGACGTCATAGGGCGGAGACAGTCGCTGCGAGAGATCCAATTGCGAGTCCAGGACGGCGCTCCCCACTCTCCGTCGCGAGAGTCGATTGATGGTCGTCAGCGGCTCGGCCAATCAGGCGTGTGCCTGGGAATCTGCCCAGTTAGACAAAAGTGCCAAGTTCCATGCAACGGACGCTACTTTAACGTCAAATCATTTTCACGGTCCATTCATACCTTACGAACTAAACTACCTTAATCCTTCCAGTGCCAAAAGAAATTGTTATGTTCGAGAAATGCCAGATAATTTTAAACAAATATTTGATTCTAAAATTTATATTTCGGTCAATTTTTTTCTAAATTCCATACAATTTTTACACGATAAAAAAAGTATGCCAAATTTCCTTTATTACTTGTTCAATAAAATGTTTATTAATACTTATTGTATAAATATAGTTTGTTAATAAAATTAATAAAACATTTATTAATAACACTTTTCGCAAGTGCGTGAAGCAGTGATATTTGGTTCCTTGGCACTTAAGAGGTTAAGATCTAAACAAAGGGGTCTATGAAAAATACTTATTTTATTTAAACAAAAGAGGAAAAAAACGACAAGTCATTTGCAAATGTAACAATCGTATATTTGTTCCGATTTAATACTTTTTTTTATACAGCTTTAATATGACAAGGTACTTGAACTTAACCTATATTTTTAATCGAAAAAATGGCGGGTAGGAATATAAAAAAAAAATTGTTTATCGACAACGGTCGATAATGCAGAATTAACTTATCCTGCTTATCCAGCTGATTTATCTTGAACCACCTAAATTCTTCTTCGCTCTGTTTCTAATCGAACATGAACTGAACGAACGTGCCAACATAATAGCAACTAACATTTTTTTTGTTAACCATTATTTATTAATATTTTATTTTGTTAACCTAAACCATTTGCACCCAAAACTGGAGTATTCTACATTTTTTAACATTTGTAACGATTGAATGCAAATGGGCTAATAACGTTGCACTTAAAATTGCATAATTGCTTAATTAATTAAAAAAAAAGTATATAATTAATCGGGAAAATCCCTGAGCCCCCACTTTCCTTTCATTCCTTATGGTGGTCGAGGGTGAATAGTGTGAAATGAAAATCCCTCGAATTTGAGCACTGTTCTTTTTCCAAATATTTGTTTATAATTATTTGATAAACAACAGTTGAAATGGTTCCAAAAGTAAGATTCCGTGGGAAACAGTTAGAAGAACTGAAGTTAGCGAACGAAAAGATTGTGAGCTCATTGGCGTAATCAATGAACTCGATTTTTTAATTTTAAAAAATTTTAGTTTTTCGTTAATTGTTAACTAATATGCTTCAGTGAATTTTTCGATTAACTAGTTTATTCACTCAATTTTTTGAGTTTTTAAAAATAGTAATGTTTGATTGATTGTTAACTAATATGATTAAATGAATTTTTTTATTATTTAGTTTACTTACTCGATTTTTTAATTTTTAAAAATTGTAGTGTTTGACAAGTTATTAACTAATATATTGCAGTGAATTTTTAGATTCTTTAGTTTATTTTTGTTCATTCGATTTTTGGAATTTTAGAAAATTGTAGTGTTTAATTAATTGTTAACTAATATGTTTAAGTGAATTTTTAGATTATTTAGGTTATTGCATATTTTAAATAAATTATGCTGGAAATAAATTTCGTTGTTGTTTAGTACCACGAAGCAATAATAATTAGTTTGTTCTTAAAAAACTTAAAAGTGATTTATATTTATTAATTAACGTATTAATGAAATAATACTGACAATTTCTTTTCTTCTAACTGTTTCTGGAACTGGAACCAATGTAACAATAATTTCCAACCCTTTGTTACTTACTTACCAATCTCAACCCCTTGCCTTATAATAACACATCAGACTCGTGAGAATGTTAAACAAAGTATAACAAACATAAACATTACTCAATTCTTTTGAATTCAAATTAATTATTCTGTAATCAATTGTACTACAGACTAACTATGAGGATACAATGTGCCCATAAATTTGCTAATTTTTACTGAATTATTAATTAGTAAGTTAATTATTGATTAATTACTAATTAATCGCTTAATTAATTACTAATTAACTACTTGATTGCTAATTAATTGCTTAATTACTAATTAATGACTAATTAATTACAACAAAGTAATTATATCCATCATAGTTGAGAAATAAATCATAGGGCAAGAGGTTAACTATATTTCGCTCAGGTATACGAATTGCAAATATAAAAAACAATAATTAAAACAAATTAAATTAATTAACAATGTAGTTCTACTTATTAAATGAGTATGTGCTAACCACCACATCTCGAATGGTAGGAAATTCGTTTGACCTATAAGCATTGGAACATTTTATATTTAATATTAATTGAACTGTTCCAAAATTAATGAAAAATTTTTTTTATCATTACCCCCTTTCAGTCCAATACAAAAGAATTTTTTATGGGATCTTATGGTTGAATTGTATTTTTCCTACTGAAATTAAACGGTGCTCATAAAATTGCTCATTTTTTATGTACTAATTAAAATGTTTTTATTTTTTTAATTCTCAAGTTGAGAAGCTTTACTTAATTATACAGTATAATTTTTTAAATTTGGATAACTAAGTGTTTAATTAGTAATTTATCGATAATGGTATGCACAGTAAATTATTAAATAATAATTATACAAGGTAATATCCAGATTCATAGAAAATGATGCAAAATAAAATTGATGACAATCGAACTGTCAATTAGGTGTGATCTCGATATGATAATTAAGGAAAAGTGATTAATGCTAGTTTCATAATAAAATTTAGTACAATACATACATGACATTAATACTAATTCTCTGCAAAGTACAACGCTTCATTAACGAGTGTGATATTTTTTTTACATTTTGTTAACGATTCCTGCTACAATTAATTAATCTGTGAATAATTATACAAATTCAACAAAATTAAATCTCAGTTTCTTTCCCTTTTACAAGGTTCCTTCCTTTCAACTAAAACTAAAATCAAAACAGTGATAAACTTTGATAGAGTTCTCTATATTTCCTCACGTGTACTGTAAATGTATAAATATTCGTAATCCAATAAGAACTTACAAATTAGCTTGAGTCACAGAACATAGTCTCCTTCCAATCGAAGAAAATTTATAGAAGAAATTCAATGCTCCGACGAAGACAATAATGTTTTTTTTTTATAATAATCGACTGTGTTACATTCGTCCACTTAATTGTTTATAAATATTTTAAAAAATTACTTTTCATAACGACTACTAAAATATTATGCATGTTGCTACTGGTTTACGTACGTTACTTTTATATACATAAATATACTTTCTTAAGTGCTGAGTAATTAATAAAAATACGCAAGGAAGAACCATATTAAAACTAACGCATTGTTTTCTGAAATAAAGAATTAATTTACACGAAGAATTATTTTTCAAATTTTTTTCATTGTTCAATATACTCTTCCAAAAAATTTTCCCACTTTTCCTTGAATGGTTTCTCTTATTTCGATAATTTGTTGATAACAGAAGTTATCGATTATCCGTAAAAATACTCGTAGGAATAATTTTGATTATTTTGTGTGATATCTTCGAGAACTTGTGTTCCAAATAAAGGAATACCTTTTCAGTTTTTCATTCTACTAGATTATCATTTAAATGACAGACAAATGTAGTTTGGAAAATGGATGTCTTGAAAGTTGCAATTGAAGTGAATTGTAAATGCGAGTAATTAAAATTGACGTAATATGGTACAGTATTCCCTCTCTGTGATCATGCTTTGTGGACTTTCGTATAATGATATCGTTACTAGGATTTTCTTAATAATATGACTACAGGGAGCTCGCTTAAATTTCAACGTGGTCCCAGTAGCAGGGACAGAAAGTGAATGCAATGAGCAGAAACGGGATAGACGTAGTCCCTCCAGCATCGAAATAAAGACGCAATGACGAAAATTTCAATTGCAATCATTTTAACCTTACCTTCTCAAATGCAGTGTTAATTGATTGTTGAGATTGAGCTGATTAAAATGAGTCCAAACACGACGTAAATCGGACTAGTTTTTCGATTTCGTGGAAACGAGCCTTTAATTTCGAAAATTACATGCGATTCCTAAAACTAGTCCGATTTACGTCATGTTTGGACTCATTTTAATCAGCTCAATCTCAACAATCCATTAACACTGCATTTGAGAAGGTAAGGTTAAAATGACTGCAATAGAAATTTTCTTTACTACATGTTTAACTTGATCTTCTCAATTATAGTACCGATGGAATGTTGAGATTCTTCTGATTGAAATGAGTCCAAACACGACGTAAATCGAACTAGTTTTTTCGATTTCATGGAAACGAGCCTTTAATTTCGGAAATTACATGCAATTCCTAAAACTAGTCCGATTTACGTCGTGTTTGGACTCATTTTGATCAGCACAATCTCACAAATTCACTAGGTGGACTAGTTTTGTCAACTGAATGTAATTAACGAAATTAAGGTTCGTTTTCATGAAATCGATAAAATTAGTCCGATTCCTACCGTGTTTGGACTCATTTTAATCACCACGATCCCAGCAATTCACTGGCCCTACATTTGAGAAGATAACGTTAAAATTACTGCAACTGAAATTTCTCGATTATCTATTCCACCTCCACTCACTAAATCTGTTCTTTGCCTTCCTCAGGCTGTACTCGAGTCAATGGAAGCAAATAGCTTCCTCCTGTTTTTTCTGCTCGATTAAATTTCACTGCTGGGACCTCAGACTGTTAAATTTAAACGAGCATTACTGTATTACTACCTAGGTAACACTATAAAAATTTTCTTTCGAGCGTCAGAACTAGCACAAATGAATCA